CTTTCAAAGGGTTTATATTTGCCAGAAGCATACGCGTAATACCCACCTAATTATCATTCGAAGAGGCGAAAGGAAAACAGCGAAAAAAGCACATAGAAGAAATTATTGTGCGAAGTGCTGCGAAAACATTATTAGCGTATGTGGGTCACAATCGCTTTAGTACAAACGCCAGAAAAAGCACATAGACATGGCCTTTTGCATTCCACAGAAATCTTGCCAACTTGTAGTAAGCATTGTTTTTCTAGCGTATTTTCCACCGCACACACAACTTTTCGCCATAAATACAAATATTTTCCTCTCCATGTGCGGTAGTAGTTTTCTCTCCGGCTTTTATTTATTTGTTTTATTATAATAATCTGTGCCTCCACTCCTCCCAAAGGCAACACTTGTAAGCGGAAGTGCAAGTGACTGCCAACTTTCCAACTCACTTTTGGTTTGGATAAAATATTTTTGCTATTTCCACATATGTATATAGCATTAGCGTACATGTTTTCGTGCATTGTTTGGGAGCCTGATTATTTCTGCAATTATTTTGGTCCATAAAAGTAAGGTATTAAGGGGATTATTTACATTATTTGAGAGGTATTTATATTTTTGTGCCTAACCCTTGAGAAAAGTTTATAAAATCTCTAAAAATCATTTAACAACCATACACTTCTCAATGATATGAATGATAGAATTCTGAATATTTCAACAAGAGATTTGGTTTGTAAGTCAAGACTATTGAAAATGAAGTTATTTTATTTCAAGATGTTATTATACCCGTTACTCGTAGAGTAAAAGGGTATATTAGATTCGTGCAAAAGTATGTAACAGGTAGAAGGAAGCGTTTCCGACCCTATAAACTTTATATATATTCTTGATCGGGATCACTAGCCGAGTCGATCTAGCCATGTCCGTCTGTCCGTCTGTCTGTCTGTCCGTCTGTCTGTCTGTCCGTCTGTCTGTCTGTATGAACGCTGAGATCTCGGAAACTATAAAAGCTAGAAGATTTACATTTTGCATGCAGATTCTAGGAGTTCCTAAGCAGCGCAAGTTTGTTTCAAAAGGGTGCCACGCCCCCTCTAACGCCCACAACCGCTTATATACAATTTTAAAAATTTCAATATTTTGAAAAAGTAAAAATGCAGTTTTATTGTGTTTATCAATACCTATCGAAATTTTGTAAATCGGACCATTCGTTAAAAAGTTACGGCGGATCAAAGTTTTTCTCCATCTCCTTCGCACTCCCTTTAGCTGAGTAACGGGTATCTGATAGTCGGGGCACCCGACTATAGCGTTCTCTCTTGTTTATGTTCTATACATTCCGAACGCAATCTCATCACTCTGGATCAGCCTGCCATTTATCCAGACTTCTTACTGAATGAGTCAGTCAACAACTTCATCGTCCTTGCCGAAAATCATTGAGGCTTACACTCATCAACAAAATGGAGGTGGAGAATGGATGGAGGGAAACAAGAAAAAGAATACATCTCCGTACAAATATTATGGCAGTGGCAATATTTACACTTTTCACGCTTTTCACGTTTCGACTGGCTTTCCATTTGCACATTTTTGGCACTTTGCTATCTCGCTCTATCTGTATCTCGTTCTATCCATCTATATGTATATCCATCCAGCCATCCGTCGAACTTCTCTGTGCACTTTGCCATCTTCAACGCTTCGTTTGCCGCACTGGGTTTGCCAAAATAATATTCGTAAATAATTTTTGCACCTTGATGTGATTTGTGCGCAAAAATGTTTTCCAAATGATTTGTTTGTCTAGGTATTTGCTTTTATCTGTTTTTCCCTCCCGTTGGCCAATAGACCAAGGTGAGGCGGTGAAAATCCGGAGCAGGAGCACTCAGTGTAATTGTATTTACCTTTCGAGCTTCCTTCGCGTCATTTTACGCCCACGCAGCGAAAGTCAAATACAAACAAATAAAGCGTTAAAAAGGAAGAGGAAGCGCCAAAAGAAAAATGTTGGAAGGGGGTGGCGGTTGAGGGGAAATGTGTGCCGGAAAATGGCAATGCACATTGATTAAATCAAATAAAACGAAGGCAAATCAGAAAATTGGATAAAGGCAATACAACAATTTTAGTTCGTCAATGCGAACATATTTTTACGTGCCACAAATCGAAATGATTGTTAAGTTTCAAAGAAGTGAGGATCCAAATATCACAAATGTAATTTTAATTTAATTTATTGAACTGTTGAGCTCAATAAATATTAGTATTGCAATTATAATTTGTTTTTTCATTAAATATATTTAAATATATTTTATTTTCTTTAATACTAACAACTAAAATAAAATTACAAACAAATATTTGTATAAGAAAAGGAAAACTATTAACATATTTTTTATTAATGTTTTTTTTTAAGTATACAACATAATTTTAATTAATAGACAAATCTAAACAAAACTTAATGATTTGTCAGGTGATATATTTTCAGTGTTTCCCATCCGATTGCCGCCTATCGCTCACTAGTATTATTACGCCCTTCCCGGTATCTTTTGTGTACGTTTCTGGAAGCGTGATGCGAAGTTTTCCAGAAGAAATTTGTAATTTCCCAAACAATTTCCACGGCACGCAGGCGGCAGGCGAGCGGTGCGAAAAGCGCGAGCATGTGTAAAAGGCGGCGGGTCGTGCGTGATGCGGAAAAGTCTGTAATTTAAATATGTGTTGTAACACTTTGCTTTAATGGCTGTAAGTTGTGTGGCTACTACAAATTGTCGGTCTGTGGCCGCCAGCAACTGACTCATTGTCAGTAAAAAAATGAAAAAATATAAAATGTCAACTCCGCTGCGGCTGCGGGCGATAAACAGCTTTAAAGTAATCGAGTCGCATAATAAGCATAAAAATATAATGCCCATATAAGCTTACAAAGTACCGAGAGAGCAGGGCGGGGGATGAAATACAATAAAACTGGATGGAAAAGTTGGGAACTGAAAACTGCTACTGATGGCGCACCACCGATGATGATGTCATCAACGCCACCACACAAGGATGTTCCCGAATTATGCATCCTGGTGGATGAAAACTCCGGACCGAAATCAATAACAATAACAGGAGAGTCGAGAGTTGAGAGATCCGAAGCAGACGTCGCCAACTCTCCGGCCAGACGTCCCGGCAAAGTGGCGCCAATATTTTTAGCAGTCTCGCTTCCGGATCAGGGTTGATTACCCCCTGGAAAACCACCCCCCATCACCATCTCTCTGTGCTGTGCTGTTTGTCCTGTTCCGTCTGACTTGTCATGGCTTTTTGATGGCTCTGGTTTGGGGCTTTCCTCCGATAGTTTTCACTGTTTTCACAGCCCCGACACTTTTATGCAGTTTGTGCTTTTTGTTCGGCCCCTGTGACTCACATGCCAGGGAATATTTAAGTCCGATGTGCATAAATTCATTTCCCTTAAATGTAAACTGGAATGTTTCTTTGAACCCGGCAGCTTCCTCAATCAGAATTTTTACTTTCCCCGGGGGCCAAATGAAAATTTTTAATTGAAAACTGAGGAAGTGTAGGTACAGTAAAGAAATTGTTTCATATTTTTTAGACCTGCTCTTCCTGGCCAAGTTTTAATTTCACTTTGAACTCTTAATTGGTGTATCTGGTGTTAATTGAATAATTATTAATTAAAGACTGACAATTGCAGGTGCACCCTTGTAACTGATTGGCTATATGCATGCGGCCAATTCAAGTAACCGCGGGGCTAAGAAACATTTTGTTTGGATAACTTTCGTTTAAAAAGAAAGAAAGAATTTAAAAAGAATCTGATTTGTATTTCAAACAAAAATGTAAATTCAAAGTTAAGAACAAATCGTTTTTGCATTTTACTTTTCATAAATAAACTGGTAATATTTCCATTTCACCTATAGATATTTGATAAAGTCCATTATCTAACTTTTGTATTATTTGTATATCTTAATTAAAGTCACTATTGAGTGCCAGTCATTTCGTTTCTACATATCATCTTATATTAAATACGCATTGCACCCGCACAGGCACACCCCACACACCGACACTCATGAGGTCGCACTAATTAAATAATAAATTTAAGTAGGAACATGTTCCATATGTGTGTATGTTGGCTGTCTTTTGACCAGCGCATTTGTTTTATGTCATCGTCATTTCATAAAAAGCTTTTGCCATGACGACAAGGACGACCTGCACTCGCATCCCGCCGCCACTGCATTCACGTTGCGTTCCTCTTTCTGTTTCTGGTAATTACTCAAGCAGACGTCGAGGATTCGAGGAGGACCACCCTGCTCGGGCGCCACTGGGAAGCGGAAAGTGGGTAGAGGTTCCCACTTGTCGGCTGGCAAACATAATGAACATATGTGACTACTCGTGACACGGCACACTGGCGTAAAAAGGCTCTCTCCTCGCAGACAAACCCACGCACACACTGGGACAAGTGGTCGTGTGCACTGCACTGGCTGCACAAAAGGGGCGTGGCCCGCTGGCATTAAGCGCACATAATTCTAATTAGTGGCATATGCCACCAGATAGCAGATACCATTGCCCACAGTAACCAGTAGCCATGTCTCAAATTATGTTATTACGCCTTTTGAGAGACCAGATAGTATTGCCATGGCTGCGGAGTAAAAAAAATATAGCTTTGAGGGCTTAACTTTAAAATCTAAGGTGCATATAAGGTTTAATGAGATAATGTTAAAAAATTAAATATATAATAGCCGTTTCTCGGCTTAATGAGTGTGAGAGAGTGGAGATATACAAGCAGCAATGCCGGCAGTCGCATGAAGTGGCGCCATCTAGCGGAGAAAATATTTTTTGCTCATTAGAGGCTCCGTTATAGAAACAATGCGCCCTTTTCTGTACATATAATTTTTTTTTTCCAAAATCAATTATTGAAGTCAAAAGTAGGCCTTGATTCTACTAGCACATGCCTTGTGAAACGATTTTAGAGCCCGAAGTCACTCTCAAACAAATTTTGGTATCATAAAGATCAACACCAAATTGTGATTTTCTCCAAAACACAAGCTGAACAGAAATAGTCCAAAATGTCCAGTCTTGAAGATTTTTTTGCCAAGAAGGACAATAAGAAATCTAAAAAAAAAAGTCAAATTACTTGGCCACCGATGAGCTGTACAAAACGCTGGAGGAATCCGCAAAGCTGGCCACAGAGGCTGATCCCGATAAGGTCCTGGGAATCGAGGCTCTCGTCGAGGGATCGGGATCCTCAACATCTGGGATAGCAAAACCCTTGGAGTTCGGCGTTCGTTTCTCGGACGAAGCCGTTGAAGAGGAGGACGAATGGTGTGATTTCACAGAGGAGAACCGCATGCAGTATACCAGTCTGCGCCGTAGCATTCAGATGAGTCATAGCTCCACAATGCTCACTCAATTTTCCGGTGTCTGCGAGGTCAAAGGTCAGGACTCGGAGCAGCGGGATACTGGAGGTGATGGCATCGACGTGGGTCAGGCTAATGGTGATGGCTTGTCCTCCTGTCCCTGGCAGAAAATTGAGAATCAACTGGAGCAGGATCCGGTGATGGATCAGCAGCCGGAAAAGCAAGAACCGTCCGAGGTGAAGAGCCAGATTTACATTCCCCCCGCTCTGCGCCAGAGCCAAGGTGACTTCAATCAGCGCCTCCAGGTGGAGAACCGCCAACGCAAAACTCACTCCAAGATGTCGGGCAAACACCAAGCCCCCGATCTCAATAGCCCCGAATATTTCCCGACTCTAAGCGGCTCCAAGCCAACCAAACGCACAAAGTAGTCGAGAAAGTCGCTACCATGTTTAAAGTTACCGTTGCTGTTTCAAAGTTAACTGAGATCTATTGTTTGTGGGCGGTCTGAAGCTAAAACTCGCTCAAATAAAAATGAAAGCATACCTCCCCTCTGTTTTCAGTGGTGTTTTTACTCCTAAACAAATTTGCACTCAACAGGCCCATTAGCATTACACGACTTTCTGGCTGGTCCCCGATGTGTCGTTAGCCGTAAACGAGCCAAATATTTACAATCAAATCGGTTTTAGCCTTAAATGCACCCGGTGGACTGTAGGCAAAACCAAAAACAGGCCAAGCAGACCTCTTAAATTTGGTCGACGTGGAATTTCGATAGCAATTTGTGCAGGAATTCAGTTTTTAATAAATAATTAAGGCTGCTAAACGATCCCAATTATTTACAAGGCCACTTTCTCCTCCGCATGATGAAATTAATATAAAAAAAATTAAATGTTTTGTGGGTCAGAGACAGAAATTCTTTTTTAAAATACGCAAAATTTATTAACATCTATTGCTGTTGGATTAAATAGAGAGTCCCCGCCAGATTTTCCCAACGAGATATATCCCGACAATTTTCGTCAAACACAAATTTTTGGATCCACTTTGCTGGCTAGCTTCTTCGAATGGGATATCATTTTCGATGAGCCTTCGTAACTCCTTTTTCAGAATTGTGGATGAGCAAATCCTACTTTCCTTCTAAGCAGGCTAACAATGTCCGCCGTAGGGCCCGTAGCACGAGCAGCATCCGTAGGGTCCACAGGGACCGCAGCAGTGGTTGATCGACCGGAACCACTGGCCATTGTAGGGTCCGCACAGCATACAGGGTCCCAGGCCTCCGGTGGGTCCACAGCAAGTGCCGGGCATTGAACACATTCCGGGGTTGCACATGTTGTTCTAAAAATATCTAATATTTTTTAAAATATAAAATTTCGAATTTTTCACACTCACATTAGCCTGTTTACGGAAGTAGGATTTTTAGTCCAAGAAATTTGGTAGTCGTCCAAAAAGATGTTTGCTGTTAGAGAGCCAAAACGAGAATGATCCCCTCGAACCACTCCCTTGGTGAACTAAGCTCTAAAATTTCGACTTCAATTTCATAGCCATCTACATTGGCTTTTCATGGCATGCTAATGACCGACTTTATTTTGTTTTATTTTATTAATAATAAATTGTATTATAATTTCTATCTTATTATAATGTATTCAGATGGATTAAAAAAATTAAAGTTGGGCTTTACGACCAAAAGAGGATAAAAAACAATATTTAAATATCCTCTATAAATCGTTTCATAAATATTATTTTGTAAGCTAGTGTAATTATATCATGGCATTTTTGAAAGACCTAATTTAATTCCTATATTCTTGATTCCGGATTGTTTCGGTGTCCCGTAGAATTCCTCTTCAGAGCTCTTCCTAAAATACTTCAGTGCGTCCCGCAGGACTTCTCATTCCCTCGGTATGTCACAATTTAGCCAGAGGCGCAACAAGTTGGAATAGTCCGCGACTGATTTTTCCCTTTCCGCCTCTCCTTTTTTACCGAGAGCTGAGTTTTCTTAAGCATTTTGTGGTGGGACAATGCACACAAACCTATTTTTCTTCTCAGCCGGGAATCCGTCTTCTTGTTTACGGACAACGGAGCCGGGATTCGCAGTCAAAGTGAAGTAAAGTCACTTGACAAGTTTTGTCACGTGCGTCACATGTTGGAATGCCTCCGCTCCAGCCACCCACTTTTCCGACCTTCCCGACTTTCCCCCATTTTCGTTTCTGGCTCCTCGAGCATTTCAAGCAATTTTCCAGGCATGCCCTGCCGCTTCTGTCGTTGTCGTCATTTCATTGTTTCAAAATTGTTGCTCATGTTGTTCCCGTTGTTGACCCGGTTTTCTGTTTACTGTTTTTTTCTGCCTGTACTCAGCCACGTTTCTTGGTCGGCGGCAGTTGGGTTTCCACTGAAAAGAGCTCTTGTTGGCGCAAATGTGTTTGTGATTATTTAGTTATGGCATCTAATTGAGTTTTGTGTTTGTTTGACTGGCGCGGGAGTGTGAAAAGTGCTTATACAATAGCTAATTGAGCTGATTGCCTCAGCATTTCTCACGTTACGTCTTAAAATAATGGAGAGAAAATCGGTGTAATTAAATTTAATAGATTAAAAGTGGAAGATATTTATTTTATTTATTTATTTTATTTTAGCCCATCAGCTAATCGCATTAAGTAAAGAAAAAACGAAATACCTTCGATCCGATAAGCTTCTTATCTTTAACCAACATTAAATTAAAGCACTTCCGCTCTTCGTAAATAGCCCACTGCCTTGGAGCTTATATTCCGATCCAAAGGCACCGAATAACCCGTAAAATACACCTATCCCAACATCATCTCCATCGCGTGCTGGTCTCGAATTACAGCATTGCATTCTTGCAGGCGCGTGCGCTCCCATTCGATTTGAACTCTGTGGCGACTTTAAGGAAAAAGCATCAGCTGAATATGTTGTGACTGTGAAGTTTAATGTTTCGTGTTGATGTGGCTTTTTTCTCTTTCTTTTTTAAATTTTCCCGGCTTTTCTCTCGTTATTTTTACAGTTTTTGAGCTTTGCCTTTGGCAGGCGCGCTGAGAAGTTCAATGTCCCCCATTTTATAAGCGTCCGTGCAGCGGAAGTTTTCGGGGCGATAAGTTTTTTGTTCCGTTGCTTATGTTTTTGATTTATTTATTTGTACGCCACAGCTTAAAAGAGGAAGAAAAGTCCATTAAAATTGTTAATAATGACTAATACTGCATAATTACATAATAAATAAAAGCTAAATTATTTATTTATTATGCGATTTTTAATGCATTTCATTATGAGAGCAACAGGTGATTTCACTTCACTTACAGGTATATACTGGAAAAAAGAAATAAATTAAAGTTTAGTTATAGTTAGTTTATTTTCTTCTCCTCTTGACTGTTTTTTTTGTTAAGGTTTTTTTTTGTATTCTTACTCATATTTAATGTAAAATATCATAGAAGTAGGTTTGTTTGTGGTCACTTGACTGCCTGAATAATTCAGCCAGACATAATGGATGCTGTCTGAATCAGTCGGTGGATGAGGATGAGGGTGCCGTATCTGAGCAGCAGCATCAACAACATGATTATCGTTGTGTGGGAACTAGAGCGAGTCAAGTGAACTCCGCCTTTCACTCTCTCTGCTGGGATTTCTCCTGCGAAGCATAACTTATGCCCATTGTAGTTATGCATTGAATGTTTTGCTGAAGTGCACAGCCAAACAACTGCTCAATCACTCAGCGAATCAATCAGTCAGTGAACAAAAAGCCCGGCGATGTAAAGACGTTTGTGGACTCGTAAAGCCCCGCCAGCAATTATCCGCCCAAACGGAGTTTGTCTACAGCCAATCATCCATTCCTGGGGAAACGAGCATTGTGTGTGCTGACTTTGCATTGTGTATTGTTCAGAATTCGTCGAAATATATAGCTGGATTATATTAACACCATAATCCGAATGAAAGAGAATTTAACCCTAAATCCTTACATATGCCTTATTAATTCGTACTAAGCTAATACTCAATTTTAATCGCAATTTATTTTACTAGAAAATAAATTTAAAACCAAAAACGCCTACAACTAATTTAAACCAAAGCCTAAAAAGCTTTCCATGCTCTGCTGACTGCATAGATTCTTTCCCCATTTAGTTTCCACTCAGCAAATGACCCTTGATATTCCATATTTGATCTGATTTGCACTCTTTTCCATAGATATAAACACACATAGGAATCAAATTAATTTTTATTTTTTTGCCCATCAGCAAATGGAATTGATTTTCTCCACAGCCCAGAAATTTGCAATTATACAAAAAGGTTTTGCCATGCAATATGTAAACAAAATGCGATTTCAAGTGTTTGCATTCAGTGAATTTAAATTTTTGGTTATTGACCATACATGCATAGAGGCAGTTGAAAAATGTGCGCATAAATCAAGCAATTAATCCTAATTTGAGTTACTAGACCAGATGTCGGCACCTACATATATCGATAAATCTACTAAATTGCCTCCTTAAAGTGTCGTTAAATTCCAGTTTGGGATGGAACTTTTCAAGAGTTTACAGATCGCGTTAAAGGAGTGGCAGAAAAAAGTTTATAATTAAAACTTTACGCACGTTTTGGCCAAGTAAATAGCACAGACGGCCAACACAAACACAATGCCGGCACTAGCGCAAACAAGGAGCCTTGCTTTTGATCCTTCTTGGTACGCATCCAGCGTACGAGAATTTTGTGTTGCATACTTAAGTGGGCAAGGTCTTCAGAGACGGGGAACATATGCCAGGGTTAAAGGATCCGGCTGTCTGTGGGCCTTGAGATTGACACTAATTATGAGACCAGCTCTAGCTGCCCAGAGTTTGCCAACGATTGCAAACCACAGCTTTTCAACTGTGTAACCATCTCGTAACTAGCAAACATATTATTCATGAGCCACTGTGAAAACAACAACAACTGCAACGAAAATTGTAAGTCAAACGAAAGTTCATATGTAAATATTTTCAACTTGCTTTGTTTGTTTTAAAATTTGGCCAACCAGCTTGAATTTGGTCAGTTGATTGTTGGCTGCTGCATAAATAAATTAAAATTCCACTGTTAGGACACGCCCATAATTTAAAACATTGTTTGCCTTCAATTTAAGTTTATACTTGCACAAAATGATTTTCAGTTGACAACTATTATTAAATGTGTTAAGTTAAAACACTGTAAATATTCGTATAAAGAACGTGAAAGAGCCCCAGTCATTTCGAGTTAATTGTCTGAGAATGGTTCGTTGCCTGTTGGCGGTTTCGTTTTATTTTACTTTTTTAATTGTATGCAAATTATTGTAAACTGTTGCGGCTTCGTCTTTTGTGCTGCACAAACTGTTTGTACATTAAGAACACCCTAAAATAGAGTTATAATGCTTTCTTTAATGATACTTATTTACTTTAATATTTTTAATTACTTGTCTTAATATTTATTAAACAAGAATTTATGAATGCTTTTAAAATTATTATATTTAGTTGGGTAATTGGCGTAATATTTTTTTTCGAACATAAATTATTTATATATTTTTGATATATTTCTTAAAGATTTGTATTCGTTATACCACAACCGAATATACTCTCTCATGACGTTAATTTATTTAATATTATCTGCAGGCCAGTCGGTTGCTTTTAGTATCTGCTGCCCATTAAGGCAATTCTTGTTTTTAAAGCTTGCTCTTTTTGTTATTTCAGTGAAAATATTTATTGCTCATTTGCCCCCCGCCTTCCCTGCTTCGGGCACCCACAAAACTGTTAATTTCATATGAAAAGTGCATTTATTTACATTTATCAATGCGAAAGGCGCCCTGCTAGGCTGGCCAAAAAATTATTCAATTTAATTACATAGCATGTGTTTTCGTTATTGTTCTTTCATGTATAAAGAGGGTTCATAGCTAAAAATGTTTATGCATTTCGGAAAGGAAAACATTAAATCGATTGTAAGCGATGGAAAACAGGAATAAATAAATTGGAAAATGTTATATTTTAATTTAATTGAAAATATGTTTGGAATTCAAAATGTAATTGGCTAAATGCATTGTCTTTAAAATCGATTGTACAATTTAAATATTTCCTGAATTTCAATGACTAGAGTTATAAAGTCATGGAACGTGTTTTGTATTTTTACATATATATTTTTCTTTCAACGCTTGTAAAATTATTATTCAACTGTCACCAGCACGCGGTGTTCAGCCACGCCACTGAAAAAAACCAACTAATGCTGCTATGGGAAGATAGAAAAAACCTTAAAATGCTTTTGCCTTAATATCTAGAGCATCATTATTCACATGGCACACGGCTGGATTATCACATCGGGCGAGGAAAGGACGAAGTGAAAGCCAGACAAAGAGACAGGCTCAAGCAAAAGTCAGGCGGACACAGTAAAAAACGTTACCTAAATGCAAAAAAAAACAATATCGTGCAAGAAAATTGTAAAAATTATTGGTATAAAGTCACAACAGGCTCAGAAAAACTAAAGTGAAGGACATCTTATACTGATGGACAAGCTTGTCCTTCGACAA